CGTATTTGGGGAAGCCAAGATTGAATATTTGTCTCAGCAAGCATATTTAGCAGCTGCTGAGAAGTTCCAAGTTTAAGATGAAGCTGTTTTAAACATTCAAGAATATACTCAGACTCGGACAGTACCATAGGAGAGTGAGGAGGAAAAGGTTGATGAAACAGGTGTGGAGGTTAAGGAGATAGAATTGGTCATGTCACAGGCAAATGTGTCCAGAGCAAAGACAGTGAGCCCTGAAAAACAACAGTAATGATATTGTAAATGCTATTATGTAATTAACAATGCAACTATTTGACAGCGAGAACACTCCCCTTCCTCTCCCACTTTTTTGCTGTTTCAAAGGTGGAACTACAGCTTGGTTTGAAATTTGTTCTCTTTATATCACTAATAAAGTTATGGCTTGTAGTTGGATGAAAAATGCTTTTAGACAGACTGGAACAGCATCAAGCACAACTTGTAGGCAACCGTCATTACTCCAGTAGGCTTTGTTTGCTGGTGGTATGCAGAGGTACAGCTCCTTTAAAAGAGGTTTCCTGACTCAGTGTTATTCAAAGACCATAACAACTCTTTTAAGAGGCTCTTTTACCAAACTCTAAAATGGGGTTCATGGGCAACCCGCATCAGGTTTCTTGGTGGTGGTATGGACCTGAAACTTCACAGAGCTGTGGTAATAAATCTGGTTCCTGCCAGTACCTCCACCATGAAGTTAGACTCTCAAATAGACAAGGAATGGGGTGGAGCCAGCTACAAAAGTTGCAGCTCTAAGGTAGGCATATCACTTAGAAGATTAAAGATGCACACACGCAGAAAAAGATCAAGATATATAGTCAAGACAGACTTAAGACAAAAAACCCTCAAAGTGTCTTACAGTGTGTTAAAAAATATATGTAGACTTGGGAAAGAAAAAAAAAGGATAGAGAATACCTTTCAAAAAATAGAGTAGTCCAGTGTGGTGGCACACACCTTTAACCTCAGAACTTGGGAGATAGAGGGAGGTGGTCTGTGAGTTCAAGCCCAGTCATGTATACAGCAGAGTGAGATGTAGGACAGCCAATGATACACAAAGAAACCCTGTATCAAAAAACCAAAAATTAAAAATATAATTAAAAAATAGAATTTTTAAAAGCCACGTTAAGATGTAAAAAACACAGAGAATTGGGTTACTTTATGTTATTGTCTTGTCTTTGAATTGTTTGTTTGCAGAGGAAGGAGCAAAAGCTGAAAAAAGGCATTTGAGTATAAGTGATGATGGATTAATCCAAACTATATATTTCAAAAATATCTCAACTTCAAAAATTAAGTCAAAAGATGTGTTCCTTTGGAAAGAGGTTCTGCTTTTCTTTCCACAGCAAATGAGAAGCTGTGGATTCATTATGGGTTAAGCAAACCATGTTTGATCAAGCAAGACCCCTCTTATAAATCTTGAATAAAGGTAAAGTACCCAGATGATCCAACATTTTAGGGCAACAACCTTGCAGTTTCCTCTGAGTTACATATCCAGAACAGCTTCAAGATTGCTGGCTGAATACAGCTTCACAGAATACTCCAGTCAGGATTTCATCATTAACCTAAATATTTGATTTGGGTCCTAAAAAGATTACCGTCACCCCAAAACAGCAGTAAAAAGTCTAGAAAACTAAGCCCACATTGTCCAAAACTAGATTATGAATATTTGTTTTTGATTAGCATGTTAGTTGCAAGTTGTTATAGATAATAGTCAGGAAAACACTAAACAAAGGAAATTAGATTCAGGGTTCTTGCTTTGAAAAGAAAAAAGGGGAAATGATGTGGAATAATGCTCTTTTCCACTTTAAAGATTTGCTGCTCTTATTGGTAGAATAACAAACTGAGTGTCCAGTAGCCAGGCAGGAAGTATAGTTGGGACTATTAGACTAGGAGAATTCTGTGAAGAGGAAAGTCAGAAACACATTTATAATCAGATTCAGAGGAAGGAAGATAAAAATGCCTTACATGGAAAAGGCACCAAGTCACATGGCTAAACATAGATATGATTTATGAATGAATTTTAGTTGTAAGAGTTAGCAACAAGCCTAAGGAATAGGCCCAAGTGCTTATCATTACTATAAGTCTTTGTGTGTTTCTTTGTGACTGAAAGACTGTGGGGCTAGGTGGGACAGAACCTTCTGTCTACAACGTCTCAATGGCTACCTGCGAAGTGGAAGTCCAAGAATTCAGCACATATTCAGTTCAGCAGGTTAGACCTGCACGTTAATTTTTAGGCTATGTTGGAATTATGAAGAATTCTCTAATGCCAGTGAAGGAATGGACCTGCTGCAAGATGAGGGCAACGAGACTAAGAGCAACAGCTTCTATCATCCATGTTTTTCACAGGCTTCCAGAAGGCAAAAGGTGTGCCCCAATTTAAGGTGTAGCCTCAAGATATGAATTAAAGTTGTGAATTTTGCATTCTTGAGGTCCAGGTTAAATTTTTGTGTCTTTTACCTTCAAAGTCTGCATTTGAAGTGACCTACTTACTTCAACTTAAGCATAGCATTACTCATAGTTGTGCACTCCATTGTAGGACTTTAGTTAATTCCAGGTCTAGTCAAGTAGGACACCATGACTATCCATCACAAGTGCATTTTGCTTACTGGGGTCTATCTTCCATAAACAAAGGGATGATGCCCATTCCCACACAGCTGTTATTACTCTTCTTATATTGTTGTAAGAATTCTTCCCATAAGCCAGGCAGGGGTAGCACATGCCTTTAATGCCAGCTCATGGGAGGCAGAGGATGGTGGATCTCTGTGAGGTTGAGGTCAGCCTGGTCTAAAGAGTGAGTTCTACGACTGGCTACATAGGTACTTAGAAACCTTGTCCCCGGCCCCAAACACACACACACACCAAAGAATTTCTTCCAAAACAAGAAACATGATTAAAGAAGAGGTACATTTTGTTCTGTCATGGGCTGCAGTGTTCACAAGATGAAGGTTCAGGTGGAAGAATTTATATATGGTGGCAGGAAGCAGAGATAGGCAGGACTCTGAATGTGGCTGTCTTCTTTCCTTCCTTTTATTCCATCCAGAATCACAGACCCCAGGATGGCTCTGCCAAATCTCATTGGTGGTTTTTATCTCCTCCTCAGTTAATCCTCCCTATACAGTCTTCCTGATCCACTTAGGGTGTGCTCTGAGAAAATACTAAATACTACTCCTTTCCATCATGTAGACGCCAAGACTCAGCTTCTCAATATCTCCTAATTTTCATCCTCACTGGTGTGTGCTGTTGTCTTTATCTTTGACCTTCCATGCTTACTATGCTGGGCCTTAGACATGAGAGAGTATTCTGGTTTCAAAGGATGCAGAATATGTTCAACAGTTACTGAAGAAGGGGTTTGGAGACAGTTCCCCTTAGACTGTGATCTGTAAAATGCTCCTTACCTCTATCTTCTCTCTCCAGATTGACATATCTGAATGGACACACTAAGCCTCAAGAACATAAACATATTTTCAGTGATTCAATCCACTCAGCAATCCCCAGTCCAACTCTACTGAAAATCATCCTCCCATGCTGCTCATCCTCAAGACAGGATAAATCAATCAATTGGTTCGGATTTCTGAATATTTGAGTTTTCCATAAAGGAACTTTTTCCAGGTGACTAGTTAGTAGCATCAGTGACTCTTCTATGTGTGGATTTAGGGACAGAGAGACAGGTGCCCTTTCCCTCCAATGTGTCATTTGAAACAAAGCCAGATCCAGTGCTAGACTTCATTTGCAAAACATAAAGCTTTGCATTGTTATTTCATTGCTATACTAAGTATTTTCCTGAAGAGGAGAGCAGCTTCCTGTAGGGGAACTTAGACCCCACTATGGCTCAAGTAGAGTATTTGTTCATGTACAGTATCACCCCAAGAATGGGGCAGAAGGGGATTTTATCTCAGGTAAGTGGTTCTCTGGAGGACATGCACAGTCAAATGGATTCAGGTCCCCATCAGGAAGAGGCATGGATCTTAATCAACAGGATTGTCTAAATACCAGAGAAAGTCTTGGTCATTACAGCAAAACAAACACAAATACAAACACACATTCTGAGAGAGAGAGAGAGAGAGAGAGAGAGAGAGAGAGAGAGAGAGACAGAGAGAGAGAGACAGAGACAGAGAGAGAGAGAGAGAGAGAGAGAGAGAGAGAGAGAATCAGGTTATCAGGTTGCTGGCTCAATCCTGGTCTGCCAGTGTACCGGGACTGGTTTGACTCCAGGGACCAGATTGCCTCCTGGTTTCTGCTCCTTTAGACCTTGCTTCTGCAGGCCCCTTTTTGAAAAATACCAACTTTTAATCTGGAATTAATGCCAGAAGACACACACCTTTAATCCAGATCTCAAGGCAGGAAGACACACCCTAAACTGTGCCACACCCTCTGCTGTTAGCATAAAAGAGAAGGCAGGGAGGCAGCTGCTGCCCTTTGCTGCTTGCCCTTGCCTTGCATCAAGTCCTTTCCTTCCCTGGCAGTAGATAATCATATTTCGAATTCAAGCATGGACTGAGGAATAGCCAACATGTCAGACCTCCGAGACTGAGTAAGTACTGGGTTCTTGCACTTCTCTGTCACAGGTAGCCTTTGTGGGATTAGTAGGACTGCAACCCTAAGACATTCTAATGAATCACTCTCCTTCATACAGAGAGATCATTCTATGTGTTCTGTCCTTTAGAGAATCATAGTACACTTTTCAATATAAGAGTGTATATAATGTTCCAAAATCGTCAAAACTAATCACCTTCTTACTTAATATTAAATCTAGAAAATATGGAGTGATGTAAGACATAATCTCTAGTACTCTAGACTGTCTTCGTTGACTCTCATAGGGCAATATATATAGACTTTCAGAAAGACCAAAGTTTCTAACCTCATAAAAAAGGGAACAGATGGGAAAACAGAAATTAAAAATCTAAAATAAATCTGTGATTGTGACCCCCAGGTTCAAGAAAAAAACAACCCTTTTCTTCTTTGGCTCCAGGAAAACCTTCCCACTCCCAGCAGCAGACATGTCAGGAGACCTGGCAGCTGAGAGCAGAGGTTACACACAGATCAGAGTCAAGAAATTCTCCTACAGATGGACCATCAGCAACTTCTCTTTTTGCTTGGAGGGAAGCTTGGGCAATGACATTGCAAGCCCCACTTTCTCACCAAGAGCCAATGACCAACAGAAATGGCTTATGAAACTAAACCCGAATGGGATGGATGAGGAAAGCAGAGGTTACCTGTCAGTTTTCTTGGGGTTGGTCAGCTCTCCAGAGAGCTCCGTGTGGGCAAAGGTCCAGTTTGGGATCATAAATGCCAAAGGAAAGAAATTCCGAATCATGAACAGTCAAAGAGTCATGAGGTTCAACCCAAACCAAGCCTGGGGTATCACAAAATTCATTCGTCGAGATTTCCTTTTTTGCACTAGATGTTTGCTTCTCCCAGCTGACAAACTCACACTCTGCTGTGAGGTGAGCATGGTTCAGGACTGCATCAGCATCTCTGAACAGAATATGCAGCCAGGGATCAATGTTCCAAGTTGCACACTTGTAGATGATCTGGGAGAGCTGTGGGAGAATTCTCGCTTCACAGACTGTTGCCTGGTGGTAGCAGACAAGGAATTCCGGGCTCACAAGGCCATCTTAGCTGCTCGCTCTCCAGTTTTCAGAGCCATGTTTGAACATGACATGGAGGAGAGCAGAACGAATCACATTGAAATTCATGACCTGAAACCTGAAGTCTTCAAGGCAATGATGGACTTCATTTACACCGGGAAGGAACCAGTCCTCCACAGCATGGCAGATGCTGTGCTGGCAGCTGCTGACAAGTATGGCCTGGAGCGTTTGAAGGTCATGTGTGAGAGTGCCCTCTGCAGGGACCTCTCTGTGGAGAACGCTGCACACACTCTCTTACTCGCTGACCTCTACAACTCAGTGCAGTTGAAATCTCGGGCAATGCATTTCGTTGCAGCTCATGCTTCTGAGGTTTTTCAGACCTCGAGCTGGAAGACAGTGGTCCACTCCTATCCCCACTTGGTGGTTGAAGTATGTACCTCTCTGTTTCCTGCAAATGGTCTTTTCCTGGAGCACCCCCTCAAATGCCTGAAGCGATCTTAGGACTCTGTGGGCTCTGACCTACATTGCCTTCCAGAAGAAGCAGTCATTATTGTTACTAATGACACCTGTTTAGACTGTGGGCTCTAAGGCACATTTACAATGAATTTGGGGAAACACAGCTGCTAGGCCTGGTTCAGCACCCCTGTAAATGAGTGAAGCGCAGGTAGGGTGAGGAGCAGCACTGGACTCTGGTATACTCTATGCAACTTCTACCCTGTTCTTAGACTGCTTTGATTTTTGTCCAATCAGATGGAAACTGGGATTCAGGGTTTTGCTGATCCCAAGCTCATCCCAGTAAGGTTTCTTTGTAGAAAACTCTCTGCAATAGATGAGCAGACCATATGATCAAGGGCTCTGAACAAAGGAAAGAATAAACATGAATGTTCATTTACAAGAGAAGGGCAAGAAAAAGAAGACTTTTTGCCTCCAAACTCAGCATGTGTGAGCTGGAGAGAGGATGACTCAGTTGACAAAAACAATAGTTATTTCTGCAGGGGACCCTTGATCACTTCCCAGCACACATGGGGGACTTTACAGCCATCTCTAACTTGGGCTACAGAGGTTCTGAGTTCCTATTCCATGGGTACAGCCGTCTCTGTAGACAAAACCTTATCCAAATAAAATATAAAATGAGTAAAATATTTAAAATCAGTTTGTGGTTTCTAGTAGTGTTCCTGTTTGGTGAAGCCCATTTTAGTCCCTCCAACTCTGCTGAGCTGTGGATATTTGGCCCAGTCCTCACTGTCACTTAGGACACAAGCCTTCAGTTCTCTTCCCTGGCACTGACAGTGGCAGAGTGGATAACGGCCCATCATGCCCTTGTGAAAAGTAAGACATGGAGGCATAAAAAGAAATAGACAACAGCCCCTGGCAGTGTGTTTATTGACTCGGCTTTGAAAAATAATATTTATTGGTTTTGAAAAAAGAGATGGGATTGATTAATTAATCATTCAAAATTTTTCTTCCTGAACGTGGTTCTGGTATTATATATTGGGAATATGATTTTTTATTCTTCTCTGATTTCTATCTCCTTCTATAGTGGTGTATTATTTGGGTTTTAATAAAGAAAGTTTGCCTGAAGGTCAGTGGACAAAACAGCCATACTATTTAGATATACAGGCCAGGGACTGGTGGCACACACCTTTAATCCCAGGACTCCAGTGACAGAGCCAGAGAGATCTCTGTGATTTCAAAGTCATCCTGGGCTACTTGAGATTGAATATGTCTTAAAGGAGAAACAAAGCTCACACAAAGGTGGGCCCAACACCTGTATTACATGCCTTTAATTCCAGCACTAGGGAGGTTGAGGCAGGAGTTATATGGCTGCATGGAGAAAGGCATATAACGGGAAAGAGAGGAACTTAGTGGACTGTGAAGTGTGGAGACTTCAGCATTCATGGAGACAGGATCTCACCCATTTTCATTCTGAGGTATAGGTAAGATACAGTGGCTGACTGCTTTTCATTTCTATTCTTCAGGTTGAACCACAACATCTGTCTCTGGGTTTTCATTAATTGTGCTTAATCTTTCTTCTGTGCAATTGTCAGAAATTCATACTCTCTTAGAAACAGGGTCAATGCCTGGGTATTCCTGTCGCCCACTCCTTTGTCTGACTCTCCTTGTTTTTCTTCTACACCTCTTTCCAGATTAGTGTGGAGTAGTAGATTTACATTTGAATTCCAGCCAATCTCCCTGTTGATTTAGGATTCAAAGTTGAAAACAACATGTTCATGTTTATGTTGGTAGCCATGTTAGTGTCATACCACACTCTTTTTGTCAAAATGAATTGCTTCTGTAGAACTCTAAAATGACTCTAAAGCCATTTCTGACAACTCTGAGGCAAATTTTGAGGCCTCTTAGCAGAAATGCACCCCTCCCAGGAACCAAGTATATAACAACTACACATGCAACTACTCAAATGTTGGAACTTTCCGTTCTCTCCTTGAGTCCTCCTTGTTAACGTTCTCCAAATAGAACTCAGTTATTTAATAAGGGCAAGACAACCCTTAGGTGTTGAATCAGTTCCTGGTGTTTTGACTCAGTCCCTGGGAAAGGGGCAAAGTGACCCTCAGATATTCCCTCTTACCTCACCTGATCTGGCAACTGCTCTCCAGCCAATTATTGGTAATAGCCCTTTGAATATACCAATCATAATAGTTAAAAAAGAAACCAACCCCCAGAAACCTCCTTCCTTTTGGAGCTTTTTGCTTTAAATGTCGCCTGTACCAGCTATTTGGGGTCTTTCTGGCCTCTCCAATGCTGAAAGACCCTGTCATGACAGAATTATCAAAATCCTCATGCTTTTACATCTACTGTGGTGTGAGAGACAGTCTCTTGGGGCAACTCCTCTGGTAATTGGACTTCAGGGTCCAACATTTCGTTCCCTGACTAGGAATCGAGTTTCTCCCAGACTGACTCCAGACCCAATTGGAGGTATGAATGAGCTCAATTTTGTGCCTGTCTGTTTGTGTATTATGTTTCTGTTTCTGTGTAAATCAGTAATTTGAAAATTGTACCTGTGCAGGGTCTGTATTGAAATGGGACCAGAAAGGGGAGGCAGATTCGCCCTGAGACCCCTGTCCCTAATCCTGGAATGCATTCCGGGCAGTTGCAGAGGGGGTGTCCAGGTTGCCCTAGTCCATGGGAAACATGATTTGTTTTCCTTAGTTATGATAAAAGATAAAGTAGACATAAATATTATAACTGTAATTTTTCTATGTAATTTTACTATGTTAAGGTTAAAACCTTGCTATTTATTTAAACAAAAAAGGGGAGGTGATGTATGCTGCGAATAAGTTTTATTGCCATGGGTTAATAATGAAGCTCCTTTCAGTCAATGACTTAACAGAGTAAAGCCAGGCTGAAAGACATATATAGAGAGAGTAGGAAGAGTCATTGAGAAGCCATGTAACCCCACCAGAGACGGACACCAGATGGAACCGCCAGTAAGACACAGCCACATGGTAATAAACAGATTTATAGAAATGGGTTAAATTAAGATGTAAGAGCTCGTCAATAAGAAACTAGAGCTAATAGGCCAAACATCGATTTAATTAATACAGTTTCTGAGTGGTTATTTCAGGAATCTGGGCAACTAGGAAAAAACAAGTTGCCTCCTATAACAGATTGGCACTCCAATGTGTTATAGCTCGATGCTCATAAAACCTGAAAGGTCTTAGAAAGGAACTCTAGACAGTAAAAAAGAAGTTTAGTCATATTTTTAATGGACTCTGCTTGCTTGTGGCATGTTGCAGTTCCTTTAAGAGAGGTTCCTGATTCAGCAGAAGAGACAAAAAAAAAAAAAGCCAAATGTTTTCAAAACAGCATCACAAACTGCTCTGGCACTTTCAGGAGGCCAAGCATTTGAATGGGGGTTTGTGATCCTAGGTGCTTGTATGCTCACATGGGGTCTGGAGAAAAATAGCTGAGACCATGCCTATGGCTCAGTGCTCTCTTCCTGGGCAGGCAGCAGAATCAGGTTTACTATTGTGCACAAGCATGGCAGATTCCTGCCACCATACACAGTGATATTTCCAGGCCATGCAGTGTGTTGCATGGAAGATTTAGCTATTATTCAAACAAAAGGGTTTATGTGCTATATGATCTTTCTCAGAGTTAAAGTAGTGAGTGAAGCTCCTACCTGGCAGTCCCAGAGCTGGCAGTAATGGTACCTCTGCCATTTTGAAAAGCAGATAAAGGCAGAGTCAGCATCCAGGGTTACTGCAACCGAGCAGCTTAGCATTTTAAAAGCTCTCTAAGACAGAAAAGGATTGCAGATAGACAATAGAAGAGATTCAGACATAAAAGACCTTAAATGAGACACAGTGTGTTTAAAAAATATATGTAGGCTTGGGAAAGAGAGAGGACAAGAATAAAGAAACAGTAAACATAATATATAAAAGAGTACACAGAGTCCTAGATTAAAGGAGTAAATATATTAAAATGAATATTAAACTTGTAAAAAATAGTAATAAAGTAAGAAAAAGGTCATGTAAAGATGTAATATATACAGAAAGTCTGGATTATATATATTATTGTGCTTTCTTTGAATTTTTTGACTGTGAAGGAACTAAGTAACCAACATGTATACTTTAACGGTATATGTCTTCAAAACTTGGGTCTAAGGATATATTGCTTTGGAAAAGAGGTTCTTCTTTTGTTTCCGCAGAGGATGAGAGGCTGCGGAATCCTTCCAGACTAATGTGGTTAGATGGAACAAGGACTCCTGAAAGGTTGGCATGAACACCCCCAAAAATTATTTCATCAGACGAAAAGGAGGAAGCAGTTTGGAGAGAACTATGCCCAAATTAAATAAATGGTTGTTTATAAATGTTTGTTTACATTTAAAGGGGGATATGCTAAAGAAATTTAATTGGTATACACACAGACACACACACACACACACACACACACACACACACATATATGTTTCTGCTCTTTATTAAAGTATTGTGTTTGTGCACCTTATATGCAATCTATAATTAAGAAACATAGGTTAATAGAGGGTCACCTATAATAATCAAGGTTATAGACATGTGAGGTTTTCTAGATATACAGAGATATATTTTAGATAGATAGGTGATGCTGAAAGTTATAAAATAACTCCACACTAGCTCAGAATTATGTATAATAAAGGGTTATTTATTTAAGGGTAGGCTCACAGATCATAGTCCGAGAACACAGTCCTCTGTACAAACAGGGATGAGGAAACAAATCTAGCAGCAGAAAGAGAAAACTGGAAGCAAGAGAGTTATTACATGCTTTACAGCTGTATTTATAGTATAAGATATCATGCCCAAGTGGGCTGGTATTTTAAAGGCTAGTGGCTGAAGGAACTCCCACAGCACCTTTCCCTTTTGTTTAAATAAGAGAGTCCCAAACCCAATAGATTCTATTTTCACTAGTGTTGACAGAGGTTTTTGTCTTACCCAATTGCACAGCCATTTCATCCCAAAGAAACACACAGAGCTCTACATTAATTATAAATGGTTAGCCTATTA